AGAGCAAAACAAACTCAGAGCACTAAGAAGGAAGGAAATGTTCAAGAACAAAAATCAATGAAATCGAAAGAAAACAGTAGAGAATAATCAATGAAACAAAGAGCTTGTCCTTTGTAAGGGTCAAAAAAACCCCCCCAAAATGGACAGACTTCTAGCAAGACTGACAGAGAAGATAGAAATCGCCAGTATCAGCAATGAAAAAATGAGTGTCACTACAGACCATGCAGACATCAAAAAGGTAATGAGGGACTATCAACAGCTCTACGCACATAAATTTGATACCTTAGATGAAATGGATCGGCTCCTTGAAAACCACAAACTACCACACTCACTCTTTATGAATTAACATGAATAACCAAAAAACTATTAAGGAAATTGAATTTATAGTTTGCGAACTCCCAAAAAAGAAATCTTCAAGGCCAAATTGGTTTCACTGAGAATTCTATCAGAAGTTTAAGAATTAATGTCAATTCTACACAGTCTTTTCCAGAATATAGAAGAGGAGGGTACACATCCCAGTTCATTCTTTGAAGCTAGAATTGTATTTATACCAAAACCAGACAAAGTATAAGAAAGAGAAACTGCAGACCAGTTTTCCTCATGAATATAGATGTGAAAATCCTTAAGAAATATTAGCCAACAGAATTTGGCGACATATACAAAGAACTAAACACCATGACCAAGTGACATTTTTTCTAGGGATGCAAGGCTGATTCAATTTTCAAAAATCAATCAATATAATTCACTATACTAGCAGGCTAATGAGAAGGAGGAGGGTATTACTATAAAAGGACCAACATCGAGATCCTTGTGGTAATGGAAAAATTCTGCATCTTTATCAATGTCAGTATCCTGGTTATGATGTTGAGTGTGTTTTTGCAAGATATTAGTATTGAGGGATACTCGGTACAGGAATTTCTGCATTTATTATTTCTTACGACTATATATGTAAATCTCCAATTATCTCAAAATAAAATTATCAAAAAAAAAAAATCCAAAACAAAACTCTAAACCAAACCTGTAAAATGAATAGTTCTTAGAATATTCTGTCTCCTAAAGGAAAGTCAATCTCAGAATACCTATTAGAAGTTAATTTTGATGCGGCTATTTAAAACGTAGCTTATTTATGATTTATATTGTTTAGTCAAATCCATTATCTAGTTTTTCTTTTTTTTGCTTAAGAAAAATTAGACTTATTTTATGCTCCAAAGCACTTAATTTGTATTTAAAGTTTGATGGGAACATATACTGATCCACTTAAGAGATCAGTATGTGCCTTGCAGTTTTAAGTAGGGAAGTAATAAAATATTTGTTGAATAACATAATTTATTCAGCACTCAAAGGGAGACAGTAGTTATATTAGAAATGTAAAAGTAAACTGTACATTTATATAGGGTTTATGAGGTTTTTAAAACCACTTTTAAAGCCTAACTACTCTTTTTTCTCCGATATTTAAATGATTTCATATTTTTAAGAAATCATTTTTGTTTTATTGCTAGCTTCAGAAAACTCTACAGTGGGTAATTCACTTTGATAATTAAGAAGTGATTTCTAAGTTTTCTTCCTTGTACCATTAAGCTGATGTTAGTGGTGGTAAAGTATCAATTTGAATTTGTAAAATATTAGTAAGGAAAAGTTTTTCATTTATACAATGCATTAAACACTTTTATGTTTTATTTTCATTAGTCATTTTATTACATTTTACTGCAGTTTTGTTCTTTCTTGTATATATACACGGCTATCTTTATATCTGCCTCTTATATACAACAGATTTGAGGCAGTTCACATTATGAATAAAAACAATAAAACCTACTGAGATATAAATAAGAGATAAATCAAGACAGAATCATAAGTATGGCGTCCATGAAGGCAAGTATACTTGCTGTTTGTGCTGGGCCTGTGGCTGGTTGCCTTTTCTCTATTCTGTTTTATATCTCAAGGGAGGGTGATGCCAGGAGGTGAGTGATTCCAGTAGGTGGCTTTTTGCAAGTTCCCACATCAGCTAGCTTCTGCCTACTTTCAGTCAATGGGAGACAGTGGCACAGTTTTGGAAAGTAGGAGGAAGGGAAATGCGAGGGTGTTTTTCTCTCTCTCTGCCTTAGGTAGTATCTCCTTTGTAGCGTCAGACTTGTTTTACACTAGGTATCCTTGGACTTGGACTCTGGTAACATAGCTGCTTTTTTTCTATGTTCCATAGGCCTTGGGATGGTAGTGGCTTCCTGCTGTGCCTCATAATCCCTGATTACGTTATAGTATAGTTAGAATCTTTTAGTATCCAAAATCTTTTGTATATTTAATAACATGGTACCCTGCTTTTGATTTTTGTGTACTGTAAAATAATCGTGTACTGTGAAATAATCAAGTGGGCTAGGTACTGTTTTTATAGTATTTATGTTCTTATGTGGCTTTGTAATTTTTTCCATTCTTTTCTGTTCTTTTTTCCCCCCTTAAGCTATTTGATTTCTTCTCCCAGAATGGGAAGCATAAAGCAGAAATAGAGCAACCTTAAATGGTTTTATTTTCTAAATCGGATCTTCACATCAATCTCAAAAATGGCACCACCTACCAAACACATGAATCAGACATACAGCAGATGTTCTTTTCAAACATTTGTTGAGTGTCCGCTGTGTGATGAAGCATCGAGCTAGGTACCTGAGAGTAAAAGGATGGATAGGATCTGGAATCCACTTTCAAGTTGCTTTCCGGGGTTCTGAACAGGCGCCCATGGCAGGGAAGGAGTTCTTTTTTTATTAAAAGTAGCACCTTCAGTGATAGGGTTTTATGGGGGAAGTGCTGCCATAAATATATAGTCCCATGAAACATGAACATAAAATTAGATTATGAATCTAGAGAAGGGAGTTTTGGTATATTTATTTATTTATTTTTCCCCTCTTTAATTCCTCCTCTCCACCCCACACTTCTACCCCTGACCTATGGATGTTGCTGTTTCCCCTTAAGAACTGGATCTCTGAAGGTGGGGTGTCTCCTCCCACACGCTGGTGGCGTGCACCCGGGGCCTGGTGCACCCGGGATATGGTCCATGGCTCCACCTGGGCGCAAGACCAGGACTTTCTGTGTGTAAAGCAGATGTGCTAACCACTACACTATGGAGCCACCCCCGAGTTTTGGTATATTTAAAAGAATCTCAAGTTCAGGAAACTTTAGTCCTGGTTTTTCAGCTAATTTTATACCATGGAACACGGTAGTTAAAAATATCTTAGTCTTTTGTAATATTTTATTTAAACAATTGATTTTAGAAAATTTGAGTGGGAATATTTAATGATAATTTAGAATATTGTTAAAGTTGTCATATTATTTGTTTCTCATTAATCCCAAATTTTCCTTTAATTGCTATTCTTAACCCTGACTCCAATCAATGATTAAGCTACTTTTATAATCCATGTCACACCCCAGGTTGGTGTCAAACCTCCTAGGACTTTAGCTTCATTTTGGTAAGGCCCCTTACCCTAGTCTTTTCTAACTAGCCTTCTCTGGCCTAGATTGCTTCCTCTTCTCACAGGAAGTGACCGCCAGGAGTAAACAGGGATCCAGCAGTTACCTGTTAGTCTTGTTGCTGAAAGATTTAAAAAATATTTAATTCTCTCCTATTTACCAGATACTATTATAACTCTTGGTTGAAAGGTCTTAATAAAGAAATATCTCCTCTCCTGGGCTTTTGTTTCGCAACTTTTCAATCTATAGAAAGTTAGGGAAAATTGCATGGTAAATATATATCTTTCATGTAGACTCACCATTTGTTAAAAAATTTTCTACATTTGTTTTTATCTTCTCTGTACAAATATATGTGCTTTTTGGGGGGTACCATTTAAATGAAATTGTATGTATCATGTCATTTCATCGCTAAATACTTTTTGTCAAAGGTTTTTTTCTTGTCCTTTTTTTCGTTGTACATTCCTACTAAACTAGACTATGTAAGTGCTCATGATGAACGATGCCAGAAGATACACTGCCTGGGAAATCTCATTCTTCCATGAGTGGACTTTCTCCAAGTAAAGTTTTTCCTCACTTTCTATTACATTCTTTTCTTGTCGTTTGTTTTATTTTCAGAGCATTTTCTAACCACCTTCTATTACCACCACCCTCACTACTCCTTTCTGGTGTCTTTTTTTCCATCTTTCAGTAAGATATCTCTCTCTCTCTCTCTTCTCTCCCCCCCCCCCCCCCTCCCTACACACACACACACACACACACACACCCCTACCTATCTATCCACACACACACACATTTTGGTAAAATATAACAAAATTTGCCATTCTAACCATTTTTAAGTGTACAGTTCAGTGGCACTAATTATTTTTGCAGTGTTGCACAGCCATCGGGACTAACTTTCCAAACCTTGAATCACTTTAGACAAGAATCTGTAACCATTAAGCAGTAACTCTCCATTCCCCCTTCTGCTGGCCCTTGGTAACCTCTAATCCACTTTGTTTCTATATTTTTGTCCCTTCTAGATAGTCCATATCATTTTCTGTATGAAATTTAAGCCAGAACTAGTAGTATCTCTACAGCACGAATCAGGTTCCTGGCAGCTACCCTAGATCCTAGGCTCCCCCATACCTCAGCCCGTGGAAGTTCCAGGATTCTTGTTTCTGCTCTTCATTGACTTTCATAGCTCAGTTACTGGCTTTTCCTTAGCTGCCTAGACCACAGTGATCTTTACGAACTGCTGAAGAAACGCAAGGTGAACAGGTTCCTCACAGAGGGACCAGCTTTTGAACCAGACTTTAAATCTGTTTTATTGCACTAGAAAAGTGAGAGCTTCCCCATTTATAACTCTGAAATTCCTTTAAGAAACTCTAAATGTGATGCTTTTGATTAAAATAATTAGGCCTTTCCTGTTTGTGGTATGAGTGCTTTCTCCTCAGTATATTTTCTTTCAGATGACAATAATGGTTCACTTTTATCCTCAGACTATAAAAACACAAATGTTAAGTGCTCTTCCAATGTTTAACATCGTGTATTCTGATTTTTCCCCCTAGCGGATCTAAAAAGAACAATTGCTGTCCTTCTGGATGACATTTTACAACGCTTAGTAAAGCTAGAGAACAAAGTTGACTACATTGTTGTGAACGCCTCAGCAACCAACACTACCAATGGTACTAGTGGGAATCTGGTGCCAGTAACCACAAATAAAAGGATAAATGCATCAGGCAGCATCAGATAGCAGTTGGCGATCACCTCGTGCTGCTACATCCACCATGGAGTGCATCCCATGACAGAAAAGCTTTTAAATCGCTGACTAGGATAGAGTAATACTTTATAATAAAAGCTCTACACATTTTCAAGGAATCTGGATTCATGGAACTCTAACTCTGTATATAAATTTTAAGTTATTAGTTTGCGTGCAGGCAAGTCTCTTCAATGCTGTACTATATCCTTAAAGGGAATTTAGTAACATGGTCGATGTAGTGAGCAGGTAGGTGATCTTTGTATAAATCTTTTATTTGCAATCGAGCTGAAACAAAAACATTGAAAGATGTGGATTCGTTTCTATAAAATATTTATTTAAATATATAACATGTTTTTCAGACAAGTGGAGAAAGTTGTTATTGAATCATTCTGTCATTTGTTCTCAATATGTATAACCGTTAGACTAATACTTTAGAGAATGTGCTTACTTCCAGTACTAGGTTTTGTTACTGAGACTATGAGCAGAGTAAAGAAGTATAATGTTGAAATAATGTTTTGAAATAATGACCCAAAGAATGTCTTCATTTGCACTATCCTTCGGAATAACTGGAGGTTAATTATTGTATATTTTTAAAAATTACATTTGTATGAGTATAATCTTGAAATGGGTAGTAGCCACTGTCTGTAACCTATTCTAAACATTGGAACAGTTAAATAACATTAAAATAGTAATCTCTAATCTTATACGTAACATTTTCTTATATATATTCTGAAGAATAAAAGATTTTTATGACGAGATTAAAAATAAAACAGTATAGTTATTCATGATTTTTCACATACGTGAATGTTAATTTAAAATTTTAACCCTTTGAGTGTCTATGCTGTCAGGAAAGCACATTATTTCCATATTTGGGTAATTTTTATTATGTTGTCCGGGTGGGGGAGATTGAGATATTTGTGAGAATGGGGTTCTTACAGACGTTAGCCAGATGTATAGGTGTATAAAGGTATTTGTGCTGCATTAAATTGCTTGGAAAATGTTAACGTTATATAAGAGTATCCTCCTTTATGAAATTTTGGATTTAAAAGATATGTTAGATATTCATTTTACATAATGACCACTTAAAAATAATGAAGAACACTTAAGATATAATTTAAATTTTGAAGATTGACTTTATCTTTTCAGGAAAACAGCTAATGTATATAGCACAAGAGATCTTAATCTTGGGTAATTCTAGTATAGAGCAAAGGACACCTTTATTTAAATTTCTCTTGTAGCAAATTTAATTGCCATATGGTGCCCTATATTTCATAGTATTTATTCTCTATAATAACTGCTTAAGTGCAGCTAGCTTCTAGATTTAGACTATATTGTATTTAGTTTTGGATATTGTTCATTATTATAATATGCTACTACATGTAGTAGCAATAATTATAATGTTTTATTAAAATGAGTATGAGAAAAGTACTGTTTTATGAAAGGTAGCTTTCCAGACATTCTCTATATTCTACCTTTTTGTGAAGAAATTAATTACATGTCGTTGCCAGGTGAAGTTTGGAATAACTGTTCAATCTGTCTTAATAGATGTGGACATTTTTGTTTTTTTTTGTTTTCAGGGATGAAATAAAATATATTATTTGTACTTACAAAGTGCTATCATAAGTTTTTTCTTTAATGGTGGTTGTGCATTTAATAAAAAGTTAATGAATAAAAGGAATGTTAGATAATTTGGGGTTCTGTTCCATCAACTCCAGATAACTTTTTCAAAGGAGAAAAATGGCAGGTTGCCTTGTTAAGGATAGGAGAGGCTGAGTCCTGGGATGGATGGGAACAAGTTTGGGGGTTGTGATTAGAGGTGGTTTCCTAGGTTCGTGCCTTCAAGTTGAAGTTTACTGTTGAGTTTTTACAAGTCATGCCTTAGTGTTTATATCTTCAGTTAATCTTGGTTAATTGGGACATTAGCACAGAGGACGGATGTCATTAAAAGTACTATAAACTTTCAAATTTATTTCAGAGTATCTTTGAGTTTGCTTTAAGCACTATACAGGTAAAAAGGCAATTTAAACATTTTTTCACAAAGTTAATGATAACTCGGATCTCATTGGTCTTTCAAGAAACACAGAATTTTGACTCTGTGTTAAGTAGACTATAAGGCTCACGTCTGCCTTTTTCAGGACACCATATTCTCCCTTTTTTTTGTATTTATAGAACCTGCCTCACCTCATTTATGTCTCAGAAGCCTAAAATGTTAATAGCTTATATGGGAACCTCTGACTTGTACATTTGGTTTAATTGCAAACAATGTTCTGTTTTTAACCACTTTGAGCTGAGTAGCAATCAATGTAGGTACATTGTTTTTCTTTTTCTTTTCTTTTTTTAGAGAAGTGTTTACCTGGCAAGGGGACATGATATAACGAAAAAGACAAAAAACAAACAGATAAAGGCATTAATTGCAACCATGTTTGAAATACTTGAGAGCCCTTGAATGATTTTAACAACTTTTGGTTGGGAAAATGGTAAGGTTCATCTTTTGAGAGAGCTTGAGAGCTAGAGAGAGAAAAGAAAGAAATGAATGTGAAAGTGAGAATAAATACAGAAAAGCAAAATGTGAAGGAAAATCCGAAATTTTTCTACCAGGGATAACTGCTGTTGACATTTTAGTATGTAAATGTGAATCTAATTTCCCCTGCCCGCACTCTCCATTAACTTCTCATTTCCAGTTAAAATCCAGTGTTCGCTGTGGCCTCAGAAGCCCTAATTTGCTCCTGACGGCTTCCTAATTTCATCTCTTAACCACACCCCTCCTCAGTTCCTCTTCAGCAATATTGACTTTCTCTTTCAAGAGTTTAGGAAACATGTTTTTACCGCAGCAACTGCAAACTTGCTACTCTCTTTGCAGTTCTCATTCTCAGATATCTTCATGGTTCCGTGCCTCCTCTGCAGGTGCTCAAATGTTACTTCTTGAGGGAAATTATCTGACGATTTGCCTAATGTAGCATGCCTTTTTATTTTTCTTCATAGTTATACCTAATGTTAAATTATATATTAATGTTTTTTCCTGATGCTTCTTAGAATCTAAGCTCTATGAAGGCAAAGACTTCATTTTGTTCACCGATAAAACCTGGGCATATACAACTATGTCTGGCACATCATAGGTGCCTGATATATATTGGTTAAAATGCATTGCTAAACCATTCCACACTTCTTACTTTGTGCATCTATGTCTTTATATTTTTATAAATTATACTATACATTCTTTTTGTACAACATATCATGAACTTCTTTCCAAGTCAGTAAGTACATAACTTTCAAAGTTATTCCATTGTGGGGCTATATCACAGTTGATATGTCTTTCACCCAACTTTTAGGCACTAAAAATTGTTTTAGGCATTTCGATTGTAGATAAAAGATTTAGATCTAGGTGTGGGACAAGTTTAAAGCCTGTCCTCATTCCATTATTGCATGGGGTCCTTATTTAGGTACTAGAGGGTTACCTAATAAAGTAATTGATACCTATTTAGGGGAGAAAAAGTGGTAAAATATCTCCACTGGTATAGAGCTATAGAGACAGAAAAAATACAAAATAGATGATCATCTTCAGACCTTGTTTTGTGTTACAAACCCCAGGCCAGAAGCATTTTGCAGAGTAGGGAAAAGATTGGGAATAAAATATGTAGTGGCCAATTCATAATTTGGTTAGAGAGCTGGGAGGGGATTGGTTAGCAGTCACAATTGTGCTTAATTAGTTCAAATTTGTCAATTTATAGCTTTTGACTTAAAATGAATCAGTCATACGGGTATGTATTTAAGTAAGGAAATTAAGCCACGAAGATTTTTTTAAGCGTTAAGTTTTTTTAGATTTTACCAATGCCAGTATCTTTCAAACACCTTTCCAGAATAAGTTTAGGACCTCCGGTGAGTTCTTAGTAGGTCAAATGTAACTTCCCATCGCTTCTAAGTGTTGGTTAGCAGCATCATTCATTTGAATAAACCATTATTTTTCATTTAACTTTCTCAGGTGCTTAATTTATCCACCCACTCACACTTTCTGTAATGTCTACTGATTTTTTTAGGCAAAGAAATAAACTATGGTTCTGAGGAGTCTTTAGGTGGGAGGGTGATAAGGTAGATACGATATCAGGGCTTGAGGAAAGGAACTATTTTGACCACCAGTTTTTGGGAATTTACACATAACATTAGGTGATGCTCAATTTTGAGATAAATGTGTGTGGGTTTTGTTTGTTTGTTTGTTTTGCTTGTTCTTCATCTTAATGAGTTTGAAATGGAAGGAAAAAATCCCATTTACTCTTTCATCAAATCTGAACTGGGAGTTTCAATCTAAAAGCCTTGAGTGACAGTTAAAGCAGGAAGGCACAGAAAGGGGACTTCAGCCAGGTAAGAAAGGCCACAGGAAACTCTATACCTTGTATATTTAAACCATCTCAAACTGGAATGTTGTCCAGGAGAGAGAATTTAGAGCAAGAAAGATTTGGAAAATTTGTTTTTAATAATGCTCCCCATGTCATAGGATTGTTATGATAATAACAGTTATTGAGCATCTACTAAGGGCCGTGTCCTATGCTGTACTCTTCATGTTCAGTATCTCATTTAATCTTCAAATTTCTGTGGGGTAATTTCTATTACCTCCATTTTGTATCTGAGGGACTATGGTGCAGAGAAGCTGGAAACATGCTCTGGTCACAGATCTCATTGTCTGTATAGCAGAGATTCTCACCCAGAAGGGTCTGTCTCCAGAGTATGCTTTTGATCACCATGTCTTACCCACTATTCTCCTGATCTTGGCTTAAGTAAATTTCCCTTTACTCCCCTGATCTTATCCCTGGATAATGTGTCCCACATTTGATCTTGGAATAAGGGGAAGATAGGGATCAACCGAATGCATGTTCTCCAGGGTGAATAAAATCTTAGCCTACCCTCAAGGTCATTTTTTTTTTTGTATCCACCATGGGATTAAGGACACTGTCAACTCGCCTACAGCAGTTCTGTCACCATAAGATCTAGTACCAAGATTTTATTGCAAGGCTTAGGTTAAAGACTTTCTGGAGCCAAAATACTTCTATCATTTTCCACTTCCTACAGGCCAGACGAAGTGAGATTCGAGACCACACTCTTGGTCTATTATTTTACTCCTTGTAATCGCTTTAGGTTTTACAAATGGATCATTTGATGTTTTAAAGAAGCCTGAGATTGTCATAAGAGTGACTTGATAATGTCTGATTTGAGATTGTTTCACATAGTGTCTCTGAGTTTTCTAAAATACTACCTGGCAGAGCCTTAGAAACCTCCAGCCATTTCTTCAAAGCTTGGGTTGAGAGCATATTAAATTACGGAAGGTCTGTATCTACCTTTCTTCTTTGTCTGGGATGACTTCTGCCCGCTGCACATGGTTCATGCACTGGTCATTAGACTGGAATGATCCTCTCCATGGAGAAGTGAGGTAAAAAATGACATAGAAATTCTCTTTGTTTTTAGCATTGTCCATTACATGCCCATATGATAAATGGAATCATACAGTATATAATGTCTGGCTGCTTTCACTCATCATAATGTTTTTGATTTTCATTTATGTTATTGCATGTCAATAGTTACTTTATTGCTGAGTGTTATTTCATTGTATGAATATAATACAGTTTGTATATCTATTCTTCTATTGATGAACATCTGGGCTGTTTCTAGTTATTGGCTGTTAGGATAAAGCTGTTATGAACATTCTCATA